TGCCTGTTCCGGTTACTTGGGAGCTGTTCTTAGCAGCCTTTCATGCAAAGTACCTCCTAAAGCATCTTTGACATCTAAAGGAGATGGAGTTCGTCCACTTGGTCTAGGGGAACATGACTGTGTCAGAATATGCTCGTAAGTTCCTGGAGTTGGGCCGATACTCCCTGAGACGCTATTGGATGAGGGCAGGAAGGTTAGGAGATTCTAGTGGGGCCTCCGCCTAGAGATCAGGCAGCATTTGTTCGTATTAGAGCTCAAGACCTATTCGGCTGTTCTGGCCAAGGCACAGCTGGTTGAGAGGAGCTTCCACACCCTCCCTCAGGCAGCAGGGAACCTCAAACCCTCAGCTCCACCCCGCAGACCAGCAGCTACTGTGGCTGTCTAACAGAACAAGAGGTCCAAACCGGTGATCCAGGCTCCCCCTCAAGCTCCAGTGGTAGGACATGGTAAGATCTGTTATCATTGCGGCAGGGATCACGGGGACCAACCTTGCTACCACCTCAACAACACTTGTTGCATATGTGGTAGTGCCCAACATTATGCGAGAGAGTGCCCAAGGAACCAGAATCAAGGTAGACCTCTTATTCAAGGCAGAGCTTATAACCTCACCCAGCAAGATGCTGAAGCCGACCCGGATGTGGTACAGGGTATGTATACTATCTGTAACCATCTTGCTCATGTTTTGATTGACACTGATGCATCGCATTCATTTGTTAACTTGTTTTTGCATCAAAATTTAAGGTATTACATGATAAACTTGATTCAATATTATTTGTGTCTATTGCTGAAAGTGTAACACTATTGGAAGAAGTTGTCTACAGGGCTTGTGCCGTAGAGATAGTAAATAGAAAACTGAGTGTAGACTTAATAAAATTAGACACGAGAAATTTCGATATAATTTTAGGGATGAATTGGTTAGTGGCATATCACGCCACTGTAGATTATTTTAGTAAGAAGGTTGTATTCAATTCTCCTAATGAAGAGCCATTTACAAATTAATAAAATTATTTAGTACTTATTCCTTGATGGCAAGTTTTCTTATTCGTTGAGTACCTTAACCTTGCTGTTTTCTCTAACTAGGCAAACCTAAGAAAGAAAATTATATTCAAGAGATTTTGGTAGTCCGAGACTTTCCAGATGTGTTTCCGGATAAACTACCTGGACTATTAATGGATAGGGAAGTCGAATTTACCATAGATCTACAGCCAAGCACCCACCCTATTTTGGTTGCTCCTTACCGCATGAGCCGCGTTGAGATGGAGGAACTGAGGAAACAGATCACTGAATTGCAAGACAGTAATTTTATCAAACATAGTGTGTCCCCTTGGGGTGCTAGAGTCACTTTTGCCAGAAAGGGAGATGGAATATTGAGACTATGTATTAATTACAGTCACAATCAAAAACAAGTATCCCATTCCCAGGATTGATGATATCTTCGATCAGTTGCAGGGTGCGCAAGTCTTCTACAAAATAGATCTGCGATCAAATTACCATCAGGTGAAAATAAGGATAGAAGATATCCCCAAGACGACTTTTCGAACCAGGTACGGACACTATGAGTTTCTGGTCATGCCATTTGGGCTAATCAATGCCCCAGCCATCTTCATGAATCTGATGAACAGTGTCTTCAGACAATTCTTAAATTAATTTTTTATCGTGTTCATTGATGATATCCTGGTCTATTCAAAAAGCAAAGAGGAACATGCTCACCATCTAGCTCAGGTTTTGCAGGTTCTCAGAAGAAAGAAGTTGTATGCAAAGTTGAGTAAGTGTGGATTTTGGCTTGAGCAGACCACCTTCCTGGGACACATCATATTAAAGGATGGAGTATCAGTGAATCCTGAAAAGGTTAAAGCGGTGCTCGGCTAGAAGAAATTGACATCAGTTAAAGAAATTCGTAGCTTTCTGGGAATAGTGGGCTATTACTATAGGTTCTTTGAAGGATTTTCTAGTCTAACTGCTCCTCTAACCCGACTCACAAATAAGAATGTCAAGTTTGAGTAGAATGAGGACTATGAAAGAAGTTTTTCAGAACCAAAAAAGCAACTGACTACTGCATCTGTGCTGACCTTACCGAGTGGATCGAGGGGATATACAATTTACAGTGATGCCTCCTATCTAGGCCTGGGTTGTGTTCTAATACAGCATAGGAAGGTCATAGCCTATGGGTCCAGACAGTTAAAAAGTCATGAGAAAAATTATTTCACCCATGAATTAAAGCTTGCCGCAATCATATATGCCTTGAAGACTTAGCGCCATTATTTATATAGAGAGACCTTTCAAATCTATACCGATCACAAGAGTTTGAATCACATATTCACTCAAAATGATCTTAACATACATCAGAGAAGGTGGATAGAACTTCTTAAGGACTATGATTGTGACATCTTGTACCATCTAGGTAAGGGCAACGTGGTAGCCGATACACTCAGCAGAAAAAGTGTAGGTATTTTAGCCCATTTGATGGTTTCAGAATGTAGGCAAATTGGGGCCACACAATAAGTTCGACTTCAGGACTTGAGGAGAGTCACATGTTTGGATCATCTGATCGTCCAACCTGAGTTAATCCAGAGAATAAGAAAAACTCAGTCAGCTGATCCCGCCCTAGTAGCCCTAAAAAACGATGCAGAATAGGGAGTTAACTCAGAATTCCGAGTCTCCGCCGATGGGTTACTCTGATTCTAGGGCATGGTGTGTGTTTCAGGTGACAATGAGTTAAAGAAAGACATCATGACAGAGGCCCATAGCTCAAAGTTTACCACGCATCTCGGGAGCACTAAAATGTACCAAAGCATGCGATACCAGTTTTGGTGGAACGGGATGAAGAGAGATATAGCTGACTTTGTGTCTAAATACTTGGTATGTCAGCAGGTCAAAGCAGAGCATCAGCGCCCAAGCGGGTTGCTTCAGCCATTACCGATCCCAGAGTGGAAGTGGGAACATATCACCATGGACTTCATGGCAGGGTTACCTAAGGCACACTCAGGACATGATGCCATCTAGGTAATTGTTGACCGGCTTATCAAGTCTTCCTACTTCTTGGCCATCAGGATGGCTGATCCCTTGGACAAGTTGGCAAGAATGTATATCCGAGAAATAGTCAAATTGCATGGAGTCCCAGTGACAGTGGTGTCTGATAGGGACCCCAGGTTCACTTCTCGGTTTTGGAGTAGCTTTCAGTAAGCCATGGGAACGAAGTTGTCCCTCAGTACTGCCTTCCACCCTCAGACTGATGGACAGTTAGAAAGGACAATCCGTACACTCGAGGATATGCTCCGAGCTTGTGTACTTGACTCCGGAGGCCATTGGGATGACCATCCACCCCTGATAGAGTTCGCCTACAACAACAGCTACCAAGCGAGTATTAGTATAGCTCCGTATGATGTATTATATGGGCATCCATGCAGATCATCGATTTATTGGAAATAAGTGGACGATAGAAAATTGTTCAGCCCAGAGCTAGTAGAGGAGACTACATCTAAAATAGTTAAGATCAAGAAGAACATTCAGACGGCTTAGACAAAAGAGTTATGCGGACACCCGGAGGAGAGATTTAACATTTGAGAAAGGCGACCGGGTGTTCCTTAAGGTCACTCCTTTTAAGAGAATCAGTAGGTTTGGCAAGAGGGAGAAACTGAATCCCCAATTTATTAGACTATTTGAAGTCTTAGACAGGATTTGTATTGCCGCCTACAGACTAGTACTGCCTCTAGAACTTTCTAAGGTCCACAATGTGTTTCATGTATTCATGCTACGCAAGTACAACCCGGACCCCTCTCATGTCTTGGCCCACGAATCTTTTCCACTCTATGAGGATTTATCATACGAGGAAGTACCAATCGGCATTGCGGATCGAAAAAGCATATTACTCTGCAATCAGAACGTTGTCTCATACTGAACGAGGTATAGAGACTTGGTCATTTAACGGTCATATCGGATGGGGTATGGGAACGGTCCTGGAATTAAGATTGTTAATGAAAATGGTTCAAGTGTAGCGGAGACACCCCTATGGATCCCCATGGAT